CTCTGAAAATGTGAACTCATAACCTAATTCCTATTTACAAAATGTAATTTGCTAAATGCAAATGCACGCAATGCAAAACCTAATTCATAAATACACAAGTATTGTTTGAAGGTTTGTGTTTTTTTTTTGCAAATGCATACATTTTGAAACTATTTTAGCTTCATTTATATCAACACAAACTTTCCAGAAATACAGTATCAGAATTCCTTAAACAGGACTGCAATTTATTATGACTGACAGCTGCAATATTGACGGTTTCACACTCGTTTCAGCCTCTGAATCAGAACTGACTCCGGTTTCTTGAATGTACAACTCAAAGCGTGTTTTACATCAATGTGTATTTGATTAACACTGGCTTCTGTTTATTTAGACTTGGACTTGAATGCGGTTTAAAAAAAAAATGATGTAAATGTTTGAATTGCTTTATTTTTCATATTGCATGATATTCACAAAACAAAAAAGCTCTTTTATTGGCTCTTTCTCTGTGCAATAAGAGTAAACCCGTGATGTCTAATGTTGAGATAGTGGCTCTATGGCTGACGTCGGCTCCTCTGAACCTGTGAAATAAAATGTTGTAAATAATTGCAGTGTCTCTGTGATACATGACCAACTGTGTGCTTGTGTGTGAAAGACATATCTGAGGTAGCCAGAAGCGTAATATCTCACGATGCAGCGCGTTCATTGACTGAGCTTGACGAAGCCTCTGAAAATCAATATCTGGCAGCGTTGAACTGAGTTAATATACGGCGTTCTCAAAGTCACTGAAAGCACATGCCATGACCGTGTTTCTGCTTTATTCAGCGTAAGGAAAAAATCTAAGATCTTCTGTCATGGGAATATGTGAGAATCAGATCAAAAATACTATATTATTTCAGTTTCATTCATTACACTTGAAATGCACAGTGCATTGTGGGATACTGTATTCCATGCAATGTAGCAGATATTCAATGCATAGATTAATTTGCAGGATAAACATGCTATAAAGCTGGACTAGTAAGAGTATGTATTTACGTCCATGCATTTGGCAGATGCTGCGACTGGCATTGCATTGCAGGTTTTTAATTTCATGCATTCAAATATTGAACATGTTTGATTTATGCATTCCCTTATGACCTTGGTGTTTCTAGCACCATGCTTTACAGAGACCAGATAGCAGTGCAAGTGTTGCAAACACGGCTTTAACCGGTCTATAAACCTGTTATTAACACCTTGAGGCTTAAACACACATTTATAGCCACTGTGACTGGACATACACTCTTTATCCTGAAGACTGGTGTTTGCCACGATGCTGCTTATTTCTGCTTTCAGTCACCATTTTCTGTGTTGGAATCACTGTTTGTGTCTTAAACAGTGTGTCTGAAGAATCTGTGAGATCTGGACATCACTGCTGCCTCCTGGTGTTTTGCAGTGGAACTCAACACTGCTGATGTGACAGAAAAACACCCTCGTCTGTCAAGCTGCAAAAGCACCAAGTATCAACAGTAGTGCATATGAATTGTTTGCCATAAATGCAAGTTTACTGAAATCTAGCTTTCATTTGTGTTGGTGTGCATGAGTTATATGGACTGTTTTTTATCATACTTGAAGAAAACCCAGGATTTACAGGTGTATCTCCTCCTGTGACTAATGTTTATAACCGAAAGGTGTGTAGAATTGCGAAACCCTTGTTATTAGCGCCACCGGTGGCCGTTAAGTGAAACTGCAGCAGCACTTCCTGCTCGTGCTCGTACTCGTGAACACACACACACACACACACTGATTCAAGACCGATATACTCATGGGAAGTGCGTTTTCTTTCTTCACTTAGAAGTAAAAAAATGTAAATACCTTTAAACATCGATATACTGTTAGGAACGGTGCTGAGAGCTGAATCTGCTGCTCTTTCCTCTCAGTAACAAACAAACGGTGAGAAAACAGCAGTTCAGAAAGCATCTGCTATGTTTGTCGACAGATGAGGTAAATAAAATTACACTGTTAAGATAGTTTAGTCATAAAAGTATTCTTGAGACTAGACTAGATCTGACTGTGAGACTATATTGTTTGAATTAAACCAATTTCTTTGACATTACGGTACAGAATGGCTCTTTCGGCATTATCCTGAACATTGTTTTAAGCATTTCGTTTTAATGCGTCATGTCCTTGTCTGGAGCGCGCGTAAACGTCACATCCGTTTGATTTTTCCCGGTAAAAACGTCCCGTGTCATTCACGTAAAACAGGCTTTCATAGACAACCTTTTGAGTCGGGGATGGTCTCGATTTTCGTAACAAGCACATATTGGCTAAAAAAGAAGCGATTAATACACTAAAATTCTTACATTTAATGTACTATTCTAGCTTTAATGGCATTCTGGTTCAGTATTTTTCCCCCCACTTTGTTTGGAAATATTTGAACACTTGTTTATATGATTGTCTTTAAATATTGCATGATTGATTCATGTATTTTAATTTGTAGTGGCATTACAAAGTACTTTCATGGTCCTTGCTGGAGCTCGACAGCCCTGGTCATTTTCATCTTGAAAATCATCTTGCTCATGTTTCAGAAAGTAAGTCATACAGGTTTGGACAACATGAGGGTGAGTAAATGACAGATTTGTTTTCTACTAAAGATAATGTGTGAATGATCAGTTTCAGAGGTTTACTAGATTTACTAACAATCCCCAACAACAAAAAAATCAAGATATTGAATGACAACTGCAGAAACATTCTTCAAAATATTAATAGTTTATAGATGTTTACAGTCTGTTAGGATGGATTCCTGTACACTCAAGTCAAAGCTATGGACAATAAAAACACATATACTCCATTATACAATTTTTACAAATTTGCACAAAATGATCATGTGTCTCTGCCATAGGCGTTCTCATATCAGACCTTCATCTGATGATCAACAAACACCAACAGCATCTGATATGAACATTATCTACACAAACACTGTACAGGAGAATATATTACAATATACTGTACACCTCAAACCACTGATCAGATCAGCTTTTTATCATTTTTATAACATCTATAGATGAAAGGATGCTAAATAATACAACAACACTCAGGTATAACAGTGCGACTCAAAGTTTAAAACCGTAAGAAAAAGCAGCAGGAACTGAAATATCACACATGGTCTTGTACTTTGATCATTGTTTAAAAACCAATGGCTTGATTATACCTTGCATCCACATTCGCAGGCCTTTAATACAGTAACAGCACGTGCTTCTGCGTTTAAAGCTGCAGAAATGGCACCCTCCACCTTTAACATGCAGAATTGAGACTAAAACGACAAAACCGATCAGTAATATCCACTAAAACAAGTCAAACATCTCTTATTGCTGATGATCACGGAGCAGACTGGTCTGAGATCAGTCGATGTACTGCGAGAGCCATCGGAAGCCTTCCCCGTAGCCCTGCTTCTTCAACACACTGCACATGAACACCTCCAGCGGCCGCGCGTTCAGATCCTTCAGCGACACGCTGCCCTGCTAACACAACATGCTACACATCAGGCTACATACCAGGGATGGAAATTAACTTTTTTGTCCACCGGCCACTGTGGCTGGTGGATTTCAAAATCTACCAGCCACTCAATGTTTTTACCAGCCACTTTCTTGTTTTTACCCGACAATGTGTAACTGCATGTGAAAATTAATACTACAAGAATACTTAAGCAGTTTATTTAATCTCAAGTCTCAATGAAATACTGACATTTTCTCTTTCTCTCACCCTCGGCCTCATCCACCTAATCTGTCATTTATTTTTGTTTTGATGATAAATTGAGCCAGCCTCCAAAAGTAATTAACCTGTCCTGTGATTTTTTTCTCTCTCACACAACACTCTCCAGACACGGATTTATGAGCTATAGTATGTTGGTTGCCTTTACATTAGAATAATATTTAATATAATCTAGATATGAAATGGAATAAATAGCATTCAATACAAAATGAATATGTCTCATATATTGAAATCAAGTTTTATGTGATAAAATATTTGCTTTGTTGTGCATTAGAACCACATCAGGCATTTAGTACAAAATAATTTATTGAAGCATCCAGATACTTCACCACGTGACAGCAGCTAGGCTCCTGATTGGTTAACGCGGCGCGAATTGACGCCAAAGTTCAGATTTTTCAACTCGGGCGGCAGACGCGAATTCGCGTCAAACGCGTGAATGCACAAAAGCACTCAATAAAATCATGCGCGCGGAACGCGTCAGACGCTCGAACTTGCCGCGCGAATGAGGCGTATTCGCATCTACCACGGCGCGCTCTACACCTCATTCGCGCCGTAGGAATTTTTACGCGCGTAACGCGTCTTTGCATTGACTTAACAATGAAATCACTCGCGCCAGACGCTCTATTCTCGTCTGGTGTGAACGCACCATGATGTTTTCTCTGCAGACCTCTACGCCTGCGATGTAACGCCACATTTTTGTTTGAAGGTGTGCCTCCTCTAAAAGTGTCCGCCGTCCGGGTGAAACAGTATGCTATTTTTATTTACCCGCCACGGTGGCCGGTAGGTGAAGCGAGTTTACCCGCCACAACACAAAATCACCCGCATTTGGCTGGTGGCGGGTGCTAATTTCCATCCCTGATACACACACACATGTGGAGGCTTGTTTCCGCACCAGAACAGAAAATAACTAGCCTGGTTAAAACCAGAGCATTCTCAGTTGTAACTGAGTTATGGTCTGGCAAAGCGTCATAGACAAATCATTTCCAGAGGGGCGTCACCAACGGACGTCGCGGATAGAGCTAAACCCAATCAGAGCGATGAAGGAGATGACGTATGCAGAGCGGCGGAGAAACATCTCCGAGTGTTGTTCTTTGCTCGGTTTTTAACAAAAAGGAAACGTTCAAATCGCTTAAAACAGACGCGATAGCTGATTGGAACGAGTGATGTTCGACGGCGGCATCCATCTTTGTAATGTAGGCTACAAAATCTGCTTTAAAATCCCAGCGCTGTCGTCATCGTGTAAAGCCCGCCCCAACGCTTCTGATTGGTGCCTCGATTTCGACGGATTGGAAATGGGCTTGAATGAGCTCTTCTAAATCTAAATTTGCCGGAAGTTGTCTGGGTTTTCCCAGGCTAGAAAATAACAAAAGATAATTGCAACTTTTTATCTCAGAATTGTGAGTTATAAAGTCAGAATTGTGAGTTATAAAGTCAGAATTGTGAGTTATAAAGTCAGAGCACCAAGTATCAACAGAAGTGCATATGAATTGTTTGCCATAAATGCAAGTTTACTGAAATCTAGCTTTCAAAATCTAGATTTCAATTTCAAATTCAAAGACATTATTCTAAAGATGGCTGCTTGTTTCTCTGGCGCATAAGCTCTATACAGCTTGAGCTTCATCATCTGCCCTGATCAGTTTAATTACATGACTGGAATATTATCGAGGGCAGTTTTGGAGAGAAGAGAGAGAAGCTTCTTCACAGCAGAGATTAATCACCCTGCTGAATCCTCCATTAGTGTTGTTGGTTTGTGATCGACTGGCACTGACCTTCCCAGTGGTCTGTCCTTCCAGAGCGAACACCTCTCGCAGTCTCATCTCACTCACGGCCTCGGGTCGGTCGATCTTATTGCCCAACACCAGAACCGGCACGCTGGAGATCGTCTCGTCCGACAGCAGAGCCTGAACACACACACACACACACCTCAAACTCACGCTCACCGAGAGCCACGACTGCGAAGACTAGAGCGCTTCAGTTCTAGATTCCACATTCCCAAAATGCCCATTATATGCTCCGTCTCTATCCACATTATTCCTGACGAGCTCACTGCGTTAGGAATTATGGGAGGCACTTCCGGTTTGGGGAACTTCCATTCAAAAAGACCGAAACCAGAGAGTGTGTAATAAGGGGAGAACTCCCACTCCCAGTAAACGTCCGGCTCCTGAACTGGCTGCAGTTCCACTCCGGCTCCACATGAGGGCGCTCACAGGACGAGTGCGGAATGAATGGAGGTCTATGGAGATATTCCCCTCAAAATACACTTTTCTCAGGATATCATTTTTTGTCTAGTAATTTAAATGTTGTTTTCGAAACGAGATGCAAAGAAATGACACATTGCTGGGTGTTAGATTTTTTAGAGTCACTTATTTACTTTAAAAAGTCTATGACGTCACACACATCGTACGAGCAGAGATACTGCTTTACGGCAATCCTTCAGTCACTGGTGCGTTCGCGCTCTGCTCTTTCTCTTCTCTCGAGTCAGTGGACACGGGTAAACACACGAGCTAGAAGAGTTTCTGTAAAACTAAAGTTCTTAACATTCTGGTCCGGATGCCCCGATGCCATCAAGCGGTGTCTCTGGCCGTAATCAGTCCTTCACTGACCAACCAGCGTCCATTAGCAGAATGCTAGCGTGTTATGGGCAACAACAACTCAACCTGGAAGAAATGGAAAGGACATAAGTACTCGTTCATTCAACTTTCGCCCTATAACCCATGTTGAACTTGCAAAACCTACAATCAAATCTGAGATTTCTCAACGGCAATCGGGTGAGAGAGACACATTTAGCCGTCTACCTCCATAGACTCCCATTCACTCGGCGATCGCCCCCAGTGGAGCTCTGGTGGAACTACAACCACAATTCGGTGCTACAGGACTTAATAGGCCAGGCTCTGCTGAAACTAATCATTTCGAATCATAAGGTTGCCCTACAAATAAAGCTGATCTGTCAGTTTGCCTGAATGAGCTGTCAGTTTTCTTTCATGTTTTATTTAAAGCTGCAGTAGGGAGTTTTGAGAAAACGTTGAGTTAGCCTGAAAATTTGAACAAGCACAACTTCCAGGTCCCGCCCCCTTGCTCTCTGCTGCGCTACAGCCCTCCCTCCACAGCTCGTCCTCCACAGCGGAGCCGTCGTGAACGCGCAGGCTAGTAAACAGGGCCACCCATAACAGCGGATAAAAAGTTATATGGCACATTCACTAATAGGGACTAAACGTCAACAATATGCTTTACATTGACTATGGCCTGCCCATACTTTGACTACAAACTTGCTCCTCTAATCATTATGTATTTTGCAATAGCCTACATGTAACTTTAGAACGTTGCACTCTTTCTATAAGTTATAAATAGCTAGTAAGATAACGTTAATATAACGGTAACTAACGTTACAGTATGTTAGTAATTATTCTAGCGATATATAATGCTAGATAAGGTGTGCTAGTACATTATTTCAGCAACATCACAAGCCAGTGAAATTAGCAGGTTTCAATTGTTGCTTAGCAGAGTGCGTGACATTTTATCCACATGTTATGCGGCTAGAGTTTTGGCACCGAGTCAACTGTGTAATTCTTTCTTTTTCGCTTGTTTATCGTCATCAGTCTTTTTCCTTTTACCTCTTTGTTTTATGAGCAGGTGTCACTCGAGAATAAGCAGTTTAGGTTGTTTCTCCGTCATAAGCACAGCTGCAGCTCGCCGGCAATCTTGAGTTTGAACGACGGCTCGCGCCACGGACGTACTGGGACTGAAATTCAGCCCGGGACTTTAAGATGGAGAGGCCTTTTACGCGAGTGCCCTAGGTGCACGAGCAGAAGGATTTTTTGCAGTTATTTTAATTCTAATAGTGTTTTTATGGTATAAAGAGAATCAGATTACACTGAAGACCTTCAAGAAATTTTAGGATGACACTTGCCTTTTCAGGTTGTATAAGCAAGTCACCACTGCACTGAACACAACCAGGTCAGCAAAACCTAATCTCGAACACACAAGTCACAGTATACTGCTAACTACCAGCATGTCGTGTACAGTCAGTCGGAGTGATAAAATAGTTACAAATACTAACAAATATACATATACAGACATACAGATTCCTTGCTTATAGAAGGATGTTGTCTGTGTGACAAACTGCAAACTGCTGTTTATAATATATAATATATCTATAAATATATAATATATAAGGGATAATGTATAGCGAGGCGGTTGTTATAGCGTTTGTATCAGCTGCCTCACTATACATTATCCCGCTTATTACATGGCTACCTACCAAATAAATCAATAATTTCACACAAAATATTGATTTAAAAAGCAGTTTATTTATTTAAAAACGATTGTATTGCTTCCACTAAAGAAAATAGTCAAATAGTCATAGAAAATGGCTTGGTAGAATAGGAATTCTACCAAGCCACGTAATAAATGCCTATATTTAAATGCAAATATAAACAATTTCAGTGTATAATAAATCACTAATATATCCCTAATCGTGCACCCGTCCTGTCCATGCTGCTGGGTCCTTCTTCCTCTGCACCTCCGGCTGCCACAGCACTCTTTCCACTTCGGAAAAGGTCTGTTAATTTGGCCCATTTAGCGGCCTCTTGTGCCAAAAATCTTTTCTTTTTAATTCTTATTTTTTTGCCCCACCCATTTCTTTCTCTTCTTTTCTTCTTTTCGCCATTTTTACCGTCCGTCTCTGTTGCATTGCATTCACACAAACCCGCCAAACATGACCAAAAGTAAACTCCTTTGATCGGCGCCTAGTTTGAGCCAATCGGATGTCAGGAAAAACGAGGATCAGTCCAAGTTGGGAGGGGCCGCTCGTATCCCCCCTCAGATTGAAAGTATTGGTTTGGCCCAGTCTGAATCATACACACACACACAGCGTTGCGTTCTGCTGCATCTGAGCGGCCGGTTAGGCCGGTCGCGTATCATTAAAAAACAAACAAAAAAAACAATGCTCTTTGACCACCGGCCGGTCTTCGGCCTGAAATGGACCGGCCGTTCGGGATTGTTCCCGGTATTCCCAAAGGCCAATCCGCCCCTGGCTCACGCTGTGCAAGAGAGGGGTGTGATCAGCGCGTACACGAGCGTGACTGACACTGCTAAGACATTCCTCCTGGCTCTGATTGGTTGTTTCTGACCGGGAGCGTGTATTTCTTGCAAATGGCAATAGGACAACTGAGAGGAGCCAGAGGAGCTTGATTTTTACACAGATTATCTGTCTCATATTCTACTGTCAGGACATAATGACAGTTTTAACAAATATGTAAAAAATATTTTTTTTTTTACAAAAGTTACCTACAGCAGCTTTAAGAATAACGTTACACTTGGTATTTTAACGTGACGTTATAACAAGAATATCTACGGCAAGAGCTCTTTTCAGTCGCTGCTTTCTTTTCCTCATGATTATTTTCTTTTTTCCTTTTGCAATCCGCTTTAATAGTATGAAAAAGGACACCATATACGGCACATTTGTGGCCTGTTCTCCCGATTTAATTTACAATATATGCCATTAATAATTCACTGGAATGCACAAAGAATCTCTTTTTTCTCTCTTTCCAGGATTGTTTTCAAAGGTAAATATCTGTCTAAATGACTGAAATCACTTTAAAATAGTATCACGCAATGCTGAAGTAAATTATTTATTTATTTTTATTAAGGCAACGTATGTTACATAATACAGTGATATTTAACCGTCCGATTGCTGTGGAAAGATTCACGCTTCCGGGTTTATTCATGGTCTGTTGTTGAAAGTACTTGTTGATGCTTTTACACTTTTAAATGTCCTTTTAATGTTCAATGGTTGAAGGGTGAGTAGAATGATGTAATGTCATTGTACACAGTTTAAAAAAAAGTATATATTATTGCGTCCATAGAGCGAGTCTTACACTGTTTACAGCTTAACGGAAGTTACACCCACAATTCACGCAAAGCATCATGGGGCGCAGGAATAATGTGGATAATTCTTTGCATGGCACAAAGCGAAACTTTTAAAAAGGAAACCAACAGTGTGTTGAAACACTCATCCAGCACAAGGCTTGTTTGCATTACTGTCGTTTTCAATTGTCTGACTGGTTTATAGGGTTAATGAAATTGATATGAAAAATTGATATGCAAAGAAAACCTATGCATGCATCTCCAAGTTGGTTTGGCTTGAGTATGAGATGGAAATGTTTGAAATGTGAATGTCAATATAAAGCTATCGTGAGCGCACTGCGGAGACTTACGTCGAGCTCCACCTTGGACTCAGCGAGCCGCTCGTGATCGGCACAGTCCACGAGGAAGACCACAGCGTTGACCGCGGGCAGGTAGTTCTTCCACACTCTCCGTGCTGGAGGCGGAGACACAACCTCAATATATCGACCGATCGCACCACATATACGGACATGACCGAGACACGCCTGGTGTGCGATATACTGGCCCTGTGTTTGTGCATGTGTGTTTACATGGAAATGATTTTCACAAACATTTTAGCCTATTGTGCTGCTTCTGTGGGGATGTAGGGTTTACCAGGCCACACACACTCACAGACACACACACACACACACACACTCACAGACAGACACACTCACAGACACACACACACTCACAGACACACACACACTCACAGACAGACACACTCACAGACACACACACACACTCACAGACACACACACACTCACAGACACACACACACTCACAGACAGACACACTCACGGGCCCCACAATGTAGGTGATTTCAGGTTTTACTATACTTGTGGGGTCATTTGGTCCCCACAATGTAATATAAACAGAAACACACACACTCACAGACACACACACTCACAGACACACACACACTCACAGACACACACACACTCACAGACACACACACACTCACAGACACACACATACCTACTTAACCACAATGTGAGGACGTATGACTGGGAACCCTACCTTTAGGGACACCCCTTTCTGAAGGGTCTAGAGACAAAAGAAAGACATGACTGCACTTCTGGAGAAGCTGTCATCACACTTATCACTTGATTTTATTAATAAAAGTCTTCCTTAAAGACCTGACATTTTGCCTTCACTTTAGGGACAGTATTTTTTATGTCCATTTTGGGGACATTAAACACAAACTCTGATCAAGTCATACTTTGAGGACCATGGTGATACACAGACTCTGGTTAAGTCATACTTTGAGGACCATGGTGATACACAGATTCTGGTAAAGGTATAATATCAGGACTTTGTTGAGATGGTATATATTTAGTGAGTAAACAGTTTTTTATTTTTATTTTTATTTCGTCAAGATCACAGAAAATGGGTAGCCAACATTTTTGTCTGATTTGTAGCTTGAGATGAAGTGTCCTTCACTGCTCAGTTGGGGAATGACAATTAACATTCAGAAATATTATTCATTTGACTGTATTTGATTGATTGACTATCAGAGAGAACCAAAGATGGAACTGAAGACCAGTGGCGGTTCTAGAGGGAGGCCAGGGGGGGCCAGTGCCCCTGTGACAAAAAGCTTGGCCCCCCTTGTGGCCCCCCTAAATGTGGAGTTTGAAATAATTTTTACAAAACTGTTTTTTTGCTATCGTTGTATGCGTATTATTATTATTTTTTCTATCTTTGTGGATTTGCATTTTCACGTGACAATTCGCATCACATTCGCGGGAATCGCGGCCCAGCAAACATGCAAGTGCGGGCCCACTGTGGGTAAGTGTGGGTTTTCTGTGGGACAGTGTGGGCAAGGGCAAACCCTTTGGGGCCCCATGTGGGCTTTCTGAGGGCAAGCCCACAGTGGGCTTACCCACAGAAACCCCTCAAGGGCCCCTAGTGGGTTAGCCCATGTGGGGCCCAAAGCAGTTTTGCCCATTTGGGCCCCCATGAGGGTTTACTGTGGGCAACCCACTGTGGGTTTGCCCACAGAAAACCCCTTAAGGGCCCCTTGTGGGTTAGCCCATGTGGGGCCCATAGCAGTTTTGCCCATTTGGGCCCCCATGAGGGTTTACTGTGGGCAACCCACTGTGGGTTTGCCCACAGAAAACCCTTTAAGGGCCCCTTGTGGGTTAGCCCATGTGGGGCCCATAGCAGTTTTGCCCATTTGGGCCCGCATGAGGGTTTACTGTGGGCAACCCACTGTGGGTTTGCCCACAGAAAACCCCTTAAGGGCCCCTTGTGGGTTAGCCCATGTGGGGCCCATAGCAGTTTTGCCCACTTGGGCCCGCATGAGGGTTTACTGTGGGCAACCCACTGTGGGTTTGCCCACAGAAAACCCACACGGGCCCCCAGGCAGTTAGCCCATGCGGGGCATAGCTGTTTTTCACTATGGGGCCCCCACGAGGGTTTACTGTGGGCAACCCACCATAACAGTACATTGTTTTAAGTTGTTTAACAGTCATATGTTTTAAGATTAAAAGGTTTAAGATTAGAAGCTTAATCAAACTATTTAACGATCCCGTGAAATGTCATAAATGTTATTTCATTCAACAGTCCATAATTAACTAAAGCGGCATATAATGGATTATGAGCATGTCCATTTAAAATAACAAATTTGTGACTTATAAGGAATTATAAAAAATAATATGTAACTATATATTGTAATGCAGTAGGTCTTAATGAGTCTTTATAAATTTATTTATAGAATAGTAATATTGCTCATAAATAAGTATAAATGGTGCTATAATTCATTATAAGCATGGACTGCATAGAAAGTGTTACGTATTTATTAAATAAAATTAACTTATTTGTCACAATAAAAACAATGGAAATGGGTTACTGATTTGTTTTGGTATTCATTAGTGATGTATATTTATTATAATAAAATTATTTATTATTGATACTAATAAATACATCACTGATGTAACGACTGAGACCAATCAGACACAATTATTTGTTATGGTTAACAAATACCTCACTCTGGGACTTGGGGCCCCATCCCCCTTGCGGGGATTTACCTCTATAAATTGGTACTTTGAAGATCGAAATGATTGTGTACATCGTAATTACTTGGTAATTTTATGACTTACTGGCAACGTAACTACATCGCATGCCCGTAATTTCATTACCATCATATTACCAACCCACAACGTCGTCAGTGCGTCCTCCTAAGGTTATAATATAACCAACAACGTCGCAGATACGTACTCTAATCGTAATAACTTGGTAATTTTATGACTTGCTGGCAACGAAACTGCAACGTCACGGGCCTGTAATTTCATTACCATCTTTCATTTAAAGCAGTGCTTTCATATTCTATTTTAATGTAAAAAAAAAAAATTACATGGGTCATACAAAATGATGGGTCATACAGAACTACAAAATGATTTTTAAATTCATGATTTAAAATTAATGATAATTTAAATTGTTAAATGTTTTAATTCTAGATGTTTATTTAAATGCTGCGTGCCTTTTGAATTGTTCTATGGTTTCAATGCGCGTGCGCGTAAACATTGAGTCGCATTTAAAGCTGTCTGATTCAAAGACGCACGCACGCGAGCAGATGGAAACCATGGAAACGACGAGGGAACCTCATCAACTGACAAACAGCAAAACTAGCGTCTCTCCCTGTTGTTTTCACTGCTTTCAGGTAAGTTTAGTTAACAAAATCACACAAATAATACATACAAACGTTCCTGACACATTTCTACGTATAATTGATACGCTTCTGTTGAATATTTACTTTATTGAAATGGTTTTGTGTCTTCGAAAAAGTCCGTTAGCATCTCAACCGTTTTCAGAAGAGTAAGTTAACGTTACACTTGAGCTCTTGTTTTACCTAAGTTTGGGGTTTTAACCACATCTTTGTGTTGATAACAGTTTTTGATAGTTTTGTTTTGCTGGTAATTTGTCAATGGGTGATTGTAACCTGAAAGAATTCACTGTAACGTACTGTTAATCAGTGACGTCACTTACAAATATTGATAATAAAAGTGATTTCAGGAGGGACAGAAAAAAAACCCTCCACAACAAAGGGGGAATTATTGTTTAATCATGATAATAATTTCATATGCATTTATTGCACAATATATATTGCCTTAAGATTATATATATATATTTTTTTATCTTTTCTGCATTTCATCTCTAGCTTGCTTCCTTGTAATGAACCCTATGTTCTATTGTAAATCCTATGTAACATTGTTGGCTCTGTGACACATTGCATGTTATGTTCTAGAAGATCATCATGCTGATGGCCTGCTGCACCCCGTCCAAGACAATCTCCACGGCTATGAACTCGACTAGTAAGCAAAACCTCAAACATACTGTTCAAAAGTTGGGGGTCTGTAGGATTTATGCTTTTTAATGAAGTCTCACACTTTAAATTCATTAACCCCAGTTTTTTTCAGTGATATTGTCCTTGAGAAGCCTTTAGGCTAAATAGGCGGCAAATATAATGTTATAATGGTCATAGTTATAATAATTAATTTAACTATTATGATAACAGGATATCATGGTCACTGGTATATATATATATATTTATATATTTTTTTTTCTCTTGTAAACACAGCCAGGTCCAAGTGATCTGAGGGCGCCGGCGCTTCGGTCTTTTCCGGAAAGCGCCGGAAGTGATCTCTCGCGCGTGTACGTCACTCATTGTTTACACAGAACAGAGATTGTAGGTAAGACGACTAATTAAAATGGTACTAATTTGCGCTTATCCGGGATGTTTAAACCGTCGTAAAAGAAAACAATTAAAAAAAATAAAACAATTGTATGAGTGACGTACACGCGCGAGAGATCACTTCCGGCGCTTTCCGGAAAAGACCGAAGCGCCGGTGCCGTCAGATCACTTGGACCTGGCTGTGTTTACAAGAGGTAAAAACGATATAAATACTGTTCGTTTTCTCACACAAACCACTCGTTTCGTGTCTTAGGCCATCAATGTGTACTTACATTTACGAGTCATTAAATCATGTTTAATCTGGACTTCTCTGTGCATGCTCTTTGAGGTGGTGACCATAGACCTGCATTATATGACTGACAGACAAGAACGGTTTGACCTAAAAATATCAAAATTGAAACTACTGCGGAAACAAAGACACCTACATCTTGGATGCCCTTGAGGTAAGCTAAAACATACCAAAAAATTATTTCAAAGTGAACTATCCCTTTAAGGTGCTTTATGCAACCGGGCACAGATCTTGATGCCATCCACACTAAGTAGATGACGAAGGTGAGTTTCACAATAGCTGCCACTATTACAAACCAAGAGACAGAACACAACAGGCTTTTCATCCATATGAACTCACCCATATGTAGGGATGGGTACCGAAACCTGGTATTAAACATTAAACGGGCCCTGTGGCCAAATTAAGGAAGACTGCTGTATCAATAAGCCCAGGCGTTATCAGCTCTGCTGATGGTACTGAAGAAATTACACACACTATTTATTATAGACATTGTCTTGCAAATTCTGTGAGGATTAGGAGGGGTGTTTTAAACAGTCTTCATACAACATGTTTTTCAGGCTGGTTGTTTGTAATTTTGTAAGAGTAGGGAGAAAATAAAAACCTTTATTAAATATTTATGAAACGTTCATGTTTTGTAAATGATTAGTTAATCATTAACTAAGCAATTGTAAATGACTTATAACTGAATCTACAAAACATGCATACAATAATTAACATCACGTATTAAACATAAAAAAATAGTTAATTATTTACTAATCACTTGTAAATGACTTGTAACAGAATTTACAAAACATACATAAAATGTTAGTATATCACTTGCTAATCATTTATGAATGTTTTGTAAACGCTTAGTTCATCATTAACTAACCACTAAATGACTTACAACTGAACGTTATTATAAACCGCAGCTCTCTCATTGCCCTATTCAGTCATTCTCTCAGTTGAGCATTTATAAATAGCACCTGGAACAATCAGAAGACGTTTCCTCATTCAAAGTGCAGGTTGAAAACTTTCTTAGGTTGAAATGGCTTAACAGTACAACCCTTATTTTGTTTTTAACATTTGTATGTTGATCCTTTCTCACTTAGATGCTGTGACAAAAATCAGTCAAGCCACTGCATGTGAGGTGAAAGCCTCTATAAAGACATGGCTCCGTGATGCCAGGGACAGAGATGAGGGAAGGCAAGGAAGGGCCAGAACTGCAGAAATACCTACTGGTGCCCCTGAGGGGATTGCTTTTTAATTTACTTTGACGTGTTTTAAGTGTTCTGTGTTTCTGTTTTTGTGGTTATTGCTGTTTTAAACTGTATTATTATTAATTATAATTATTATTAAATATAAATAAATTATTTGGGGAAAAAAACATGACCCTCGATTTATTGCTGCTAACAAGTGCAATTGTACTGCATATAGTAATGTGGGTGTACCTACTCTGTGTGCTCAAACTTTGCACCTGCACCCACAGTGTGCCCACATCCAGCCCACATGAGGGCCTGCTCTAATTTGTGTGGGCCAGCCCAAAGTCAGCCCACACTTTGGGCTGTCCCACTGGGGCCCCACCTGGGTCCCAAAGTGTGGGGCCCACACGTGCCCCGCATTTCACGCCGGTATCTGGGCCCACAGTGGGCTGCCCGCAATGGCCCCACATGGGCCCCTATAAGGGTTTGCTGTGGGCCCACAACTGGCCCCAATGGGGCCCACTCTACTTACTGTGGGCCTGCCCACAGTCAGCCCACACTTTTGGGCTGTCCCACTGGGGGCCCCACCTGGGTCCCAAAGTGTGGGGCCCACACGTGCCCCGCATTTCACGCCGGTATCTGGGCCCACAGTGGGCTGCCCGCAATGGCCCCACATGGGCCCCTATAAGGGTTTGCTGTGGGCCCACAACTGGCCCCAATGGGGCCCACTCTACTTACTGTGGGCCTGCCCACAGTCAGCCCACACTTTTGGGCTGGCCCACTGGGGCCCCACCTGGGTC